ATCTGAATGATTTTTAAGCAATCTCTGGTGTTGGTAGTTGTGGTTTTTCCCTGCTTAGTGGATTAGCAATGGAGACTAAACTATTCTTACTAATATGTTTTGTGGCTACTAAGAAAGCTTTGCACTGTTGGTGATTTGCATATTAGAAGTGTCACATTTCTTTCCTTTTTTAGGTATACCAACTGCAGCCTTATCAAATATATGGAAAAACATAAAGTTAAACCAGATAGTAAGGCATTCCACTTGGTAAGTTCCTGCATGCATAAAAAAATCAAACCCCTTGTATAAGTTACAGTTGTTCAAAGTGAGAGTTGAGCTGGTGTCAAGTACACTGTGACTAACTTTATTTTATAAATATTATACCTTATTTTATTAAAAAAGTTAGGAATAACTGATACTCTGCAATCTGAGAATTGCAAAACCACTTTATCTTCTCACATTGATAAAATGATTCTGTGAGTCATTCACTGGATTAGTTTCTGTATCAAGTATATCAGAAGTTTTCAGTCTTTAAGTCACGTTTAGTTTGTAATTATATTTGCAGTGTTGCTGCAACTCAGCCATTTTGCTGCTTTGCATACTTTTAATAGCCTATTTTTTATTTTTTAAAAAAATCCTAATTGCCTAATTTTTTACATATTCATTATTAAGCTTACATCTTACCGACTGAAAACCAAAAAAAATTAACTTGAGACTTGAACATGTAGTTTGAAAAATTTTAGTATGTCTTCCTGGTGCACTAATCCTTTGTAGCTTTCTTATGAAAACACCCTAGTACTCTTACAACAATGATTTTCTCTCTAGAACGTATAACTTCTTTTTTTATGAAGACTCCCGTTAAAATGATACACTTGCTCAGCCCTGGAAGTGCCTGCATTATGTTGTTTCAGAAATTACTATATTGGACCTTTTCTTCTGTGTTTTAAAGAACACATTCAAGTCTCTAAAATAAACTTTGTGTGTATATATATATATATGGAGAAGAAAGAAGTTAGGTATATCTTGTCTCTCTGAATGGACATTCTCCTTATCTTGATGTTTCCAGCTCAGATTAAATGTTTTCGGGCTAGAATTATAAGGTAAATATATTATTTGCAGGGCAGGAGTGAGGGAAGAAAACAAGAAGCTTTTTGATCTTGGATATGAGAGGAATAAATTGGAGAAAAGGGAAGATGGTTAAGAGGCCTGGGTGTCTGAGGACATGATGCTTTTGTTGAAGTCGTTGGAAGCTGTGTCTTCTCTGATAATCAGTCCCAAGGGTTTTTAAGCAGCCATCATTTTCTGTTCAGTACTTTTTTCCTCCATATAAATTTTGGAATTTATCCTTCAGTCAGAGCAGCTCTGAGGCAATATTCTTCTTGTGGCATACTGCATGAGCATTTTTGAATGGGGGTTTCCAAGCAGAGGAGTTACACTGCAACTGGTCTAAAATAGAATGTATATTCAAGGTTCAGATCAAACCAAAGTATAATCAGGTGAATCAAGTAATCATTGCAAGAAGTTACCTGGCGGTGGTACCATTATGCATTGTTTACTGTGAAGTGTGTCTGCTCTCTAAAGTTAAAAGTTGGTGAAATACTAGAGAAGTTTACATAAGCAGGGAAACTAGTCCTGTCTGGTAGAGATTTTGGATTTTTAATGGACTTTTATATCAAAGTAGAACTGAAAGCTGCTGATCAGTCAATATATTTGTATGTAATGCATAAATAATTTATTTTAATATGCGAAGAGCTGAAGTGCCTATTATGCACAGGCAAAGCAGTCCGTCCATTTTGCTCATCATTAATCCAGCTACCATATAGCTATTTATAACAGAGCTTCATAAATGCGTTTTTAGTATTTACCAAAATGTTCTGTGTTTTAGGCTAAGAATATACACTTTAAAAAAGATATATTTGATATAGCAAGTACATAATATCTAATATTCCTATCAAAGCCTAAATAATATTTGTGGAAATTTTATTATTAAGTAATTCAACAAGCAAAAAACAATGAACACAAGGTGTCTGTTGAATATGTTTTGCATAGGATGGTGTTTGGATATAAAAACTCATCCTTGGACTCTGAGAGAAGCAAATTAATTGAGTGAATTTGCAGATCTTTCTCATCTGCCACTCTAGGCAGGTGTTCCACAAAATTACGCAAATGCACGCATCAGTACTTACCTTCCTAACTCCACCTTCTTTGGGAACAAACATGATGTTTGTCATCTACAAGTTTGACTTTTGACATATTTGGAGTCTAAAGCTCTCAAAATTAGGCTCATGTTGCTGTACCAAAATCTGAAAGTGGCTAACTGTCACTAGTGGTGAATAGCTGAGAAAACTCAGTCAATTCTGCCTGCTAAAATCAGTCACGTTAGATTTTCATATCATACCTAGGCTATCTGAGGTAAAAACCTTCTCCATGCAACAGCCTGTGTAACATGGCCAGTCACTTGATCTTCAGGTAACGCAAGTGCTTTCCTCCTTCCTCAATTCCTCAACTATTTCTTTCTCACTACGCTCCGGTCTGATGGTTTAACGCCAAGCTCAGGTAAAATTGAGTAGTTCAGGCTGTGCTGTACATCTGGCAGTCCATAAAAAAGACTTTCTCTGAATGAACTAGCTTCTATTAAGAGCTGTGAGTGCTCTGGCCAAACTGACCAGAAATTTCTCATCTGCTCTCCCAGTCTTTCAATTTTAGAAATTGTTTTAAATAGAACAACAAAGTTAGACACAGAATTATCACATCAGAATAGCTTAAAACACTTACTATAGTGTTTTCTCTTCTCCCTGTGGTATCACGACAGGGTGATAACTGCTTGAATTCTTCAACATTTTTATTCAGCATGTTTGTATTTATACCAAAAAGCAGTGGTTACATTAAAATGCAAAACCAAGGAATGGTGTCCTTTACCAGGTCACTACCACCCCTCCATCCTTGGTCATACCGGTTAATACCGAACAAGAGGACCAGGAGGTGACTTTGAGCGTGGACCCCTGACTGAGCACGCTGCTCAACTGCTACCTTACCCACTCACTCCGGTTTGGACCTTTACCCACCTTCCCCTCAACAAGACTGGTAGCGAGAGAGAGCCCTTGATGCGATTGGGATGACGTCAGTGTCACGCAAGCTAGAAAGCAGGGTATTTAGTCGTGTAGACATAGCCATCTTCTTTTGTATCTCCCATAGATACAGATTGTGAGCTAAGTACTGTGAAATTTATTGTCAGTTAGCTCTAATAGGATCCTCTCAGTTTTCTGATAACTGCTGTCTGTCAGAACAATTCAATGAAAATCAGATCTGTTCAGGGGCTGTCAAAACCAGAAGGTGTCTTAGGTTTGTGCTCTCACTGTTTGAGGCTAGACTGAACTCCAGATGAATGCCTTAGGCCCCTCCACCAGAGCCTGAACAAGTTCAGCGAATCTCTTGGTACCAGTTCTTCCAGAGATACTCCAAGATCTTACTCTTCCACAGGCTGTCTCACAGCCTTTTACTGTCTGCATCAGAACAGATAAAAAACCTGTTTACATCTACTATTGTAAAAATATGCCAGAACTAATAATTCCAGGACTAGTAAATCCAGAGATTGTTGTCATTGCCAAAAATTAAATGTTTTGATTTCCCAACTTGAATTAACCAGATTTTTTCCCTCTTTACTGACATTCATGCACATGGTCTCTTTTCACATGCGTTACATGAGACAACTTTGGCTCCTTCCTGCTTTTGCAGCTTACATTTTTTTCCACTTTCACTTTCCTGATTTTTTTTCCTACTTATTTGTTTATGCCCTAGAAAATGGGTACGCAGCTGCTGCTCCTGGTTCATTGAGTGATACTCCATCATCCATTTGGTTACTTTGGTCCGTATCAACTGTAGTGATTGTCCCATTCATTGCTGATGTATAACGTTTACTGCATTTTTATTATGTCATTCAGCCAGGTGATCTTTTAATTGAACAGTTTTTGAATAGAAAATATTTGTAATAATAGGTGGAAGATTCACTTGTGCTGGCACCTGAACAAGGGAGCAAAATAGGAGTTTTGATCCCCTGTGTGATAATGGTTGCACAATCATTAAACTTTTCTTGTGGTTTCTGTTTTCTGTTACTGATTATGACCAAGTTTGTTCACATCTTGTCAGCATGTGATGGACAGCTTTATAGCCTAATTGCCAGAAATGGTGCCAGAATTTTGCAAAGTTTTTTGATTGTGATGTTTTTCAGCATGTTGGCAATTCTTTCTCATTTTTTGCCTTCCTCTTTTCTGGCTCCTGGGATTGCTTTTTGAGCTTTTGAGAGAACAAGAATTGTTCTGTTCAAACTGATATTCTACAAAGACTACATGCAGACTCAGAGTCAGAATAACTTACTGTGAGTCTGTGTTGATGATGTGAAAAACAAAACTGGATTTGATAGTGGTAATACGTATTCGTTATGTTCTTAACCATGCCATTAAAACTGAAGGCTGAGGAGAGAAAACGTACTTTCTAACTTTAGCTATCTGCAGCGTGGAGGTTGTGTATGCTCACTTAATAGCTAGTGAAAGGGGATGACCAGTTCAGATGTAGATCATGACGCTAGATCTTTATAAAAAGGTGAATTTAATCCCATGAAAAGTATGAATAACAAATGTGAAATGAATATTATTTGCATATGTAGTTTCTGCGTATCTTGTTAGATCCACGATTTAAAAAAAAAGCTATAGGTTGAAAGTGTAGCATTTCTTTCAAAGATCATTGTCTTTGACAAAAAATCAGGGTGTAGTTTTGCCTTGGATCCTGTATTCCATGGTGAAACATGAATACTCACTATTTTCCTTTTTCTGTGTAGTATCTGAAGCTCCTTCTGCCCGTATGTGTTGCATTGTTAAATGCTGGGTGGATGGGAAGAAATATATGCACATACACCAGACCTTTTGAATAAGAAACACTTACTTTTAGAATGTATCACTGCTATTTCAGTGCTAGAGTTAAATAAAATCACTCTGGTCTGCTGTACCTAAAATGGAGAAAAATCTTCACACACGTGGAGAGAGCATGATGTTTCTAATGTGTTTTTTATTGAAAATCGCTGTTGAGATGCTGCAGAGACAAATGTATAACGTCCAGCCAGCTTCCGAAATGTTCACATAGGTGCCAAATGAGAGTGGAAGAGTAAAAACAGCACAAACAGTAAAAACAGCTTTTAGAGTTACCTTTCAGTCTTTATTGTTGTGCTGAATTTAGACTTCCTGTCTGTTATTGGTATTTGAATTTACTCAAGATGAGTTTCTGGCTGTGTATCCTAAGCATTTCTCATAGCATGTACATCTAAGTACCAATGTTTATAACTATTTTTATACAAATTTTTCACTTCGCTTTGGTTAGGTCAGTTTTATTAAATTTTCATTTGTGTATTACCGTAGGATTTTTGCTCCACTGCCTGTTACTGAAACATCTTGTGTGCTGGTTTTTTTAAAGTTAGGCATTGGGCGAATACCTAGCGTGCTTCTTAGCCCTCTGTTTACCCTTCCCAATGAGAGTAAGATGTACTTTCTCAAAGGGTAAGGTTTTGCTGGATTTTTAGTTGAACTGAGTTCAACTATTTTGTAAAATACTATACTTTGCTTTGTCTTCTGCATATTCATACTTTGTGGTCTTCTTCATTGTCTTTAATCAACACAGGCATTTTGGAAAGAACTTTTTTCATGTAGTTGATACCTGATTCATCAGTTGTTACAAAGATAGAGGCTGAGGTCTTACACTGATAGTGAAAGAGCACCGGAGCTCAGACTTGATGTGCTCATGGAGGATGCAGCTTATCCAACTTCCCTAGAGTATTTTGCATCATGTCATGCAAAAAATCAACTAAAATTCAAGATTTTGCACAACTGCTCTTTTCAGCAGCATGTAGCACACAGATGTGTCTGAGAGTCCATATTTGTCAGGATAAACAAGCACATACTGGAACGGGTGATAAAAAGTTATCTGGCCAGGTGGGTTTTTTGAACGTGTTGATTACCACTTTCTTCTACAGCATAAAGATTTTCTAAGGAGTGACTTAATATAACATCTTTGAAATACTATGGATGACAACGGAGATGTACTAGTATGACAATACTAAATAACGAGCAATAACAGACATGGAATCACTTTTGTTTATTAATTGCTAAGAATTATTTGAATTTAGATGGATATGATGTTGCTTCCTGTTAAGTGCAGTGTAGTTGCAGAAACCAGGCTGAATATGTGCATGTTACGTCCTTTTGTGGGAAGTGAACAGACCTTTAAAGCTGCTGGTACGTCGTGGAAACTCTTTGAATGTTTTGTTAGAACATTTGTGACTGGAACTAACCGCGTGTCCTGGGCTTTGCAAGTAAAAATAGGTGTTCTTTGATGGGGAATGGAGTTATCATTTTAACAAGATAGAAGAATGTGGTTATGCTATTTATGGTTAGGGTTTTGAGTTCAGACACATTTGTATCAGCTTGTCTTTCAGGAACAATACAGTGAAGTTTCTGTAAACAGTTTTGGTAATGCAGAGCTTTTTATCTTTTATTTTGTGTAGCTTCAGAAATTGCTCACTATGGATCCAATAAAGAGAATTACCTCAGAACAGGCTATGCAGGATCCCTATTTCTTAGAAGATCCTCTTCCCACATCCGAGTAAGTGGTCAGTTTATTAACCTATCAGTACATCCAGAGATGCTTTAGAAATGCGTGCTTTCTCTCTGATATAAATATGTTTGTGAATATTGAGCTAAATACTTAGTGTCTAACAACCAAAGAAACTATAACCACTAAAACGCCATTTGTGGTTTTTAAAATTAAGTAGCATTCTTATTGGTCTCTTGCTTTACGGAACTTCGATCCTATTAGTTGCAGCACTAATCTTGTTATTCACTGACATGTTGATTATGCATGCTGCAGATCTTTGTAGGCAACTGCTAAGTGCCCACAGGTCCACTTCTCTGCTCCAGAATGCCAGATGACACTCTCTAATTAGTTTACATTTTTCTATCTTAGCCTTTGTTGTAAATTCAGTGGGTGGGGGAAGTCAACTCTGTGTCTCTGTGCTGTCATCCTTAATGACTTAAATCCATTTTCTGTAGACACTCCTCTTTTTTGCTTGCGCAGGGAGATTTACAAAAGGAAGAAAATTTAGGGACAATAATTCATTAAAAATGAACCCACCCCCTGCCCCAAAGACTAGCCAGAGAGCATGATTGCACATCTTTTTAGGAAAACTATTAGCACATCGTGTGTATGATTCTCTACCATTATCTAGAGAAGAATTTATAAAATACGGTATGTATATTTATAAACAATTAATTAAAAATTACATGATTTCACTAAAACCTACTGGGTTATTTATAATGACTCCTGACCTCTCTCTGTGATTTAATGTTGTCATGTGAATGATGTACTTTTGCAGAAACTGCTTTTAGGACAGTGTTTGGGTTTTTTCTCAACTTCAGGTTGGCATTTTAATGTGAATACGCAATGTGTAATGCTAACAGGTGTACAGACTTTATTATAAATACATTCGACTGATTAAGGACAGGTAAATATTAGCTTGCGCTAGCAGTAGCAAAGTCATGTGGGCCATGAGATATGAACTTACAGATGAAACTTCTAGTTATTTTTAAACTTTGTTCCAGGTGGTTTTATTAATAGTGGAGTTTCCAGGGGTATTTTTAGTTAGTCCTGAGATTGTCATTTACGCTATAGCTGGATTAAGATAGCTCTTTGTGCCCTTGCAGATATCTAACAGGTGGTGTACCTTTCCAGCCACCCGGCTGGTCACCAGTTATCAGAAACCGTGAAAACTATGAGGAGTTTAGATGAGTGTATAAGAGGCAACTGAAGATTAAAAATCAATGTGAATAGGTTTACTAAGTTTAGAATATGATGAAAGTAAGACAGGGAAAACTTCTCCATTATTAAGCTGTGGTTCAGGCAACTTGAAACTAGCATGGCTGAAGTATGAATCTTACAGGTCTAACCCTTCTGTTCTAATACAGTGATAAATAGACTTTTTTGGGGGGCAGTGTTTTTGCAGGTTGTCAAATCCCTTACCCAAAACGAGAATTTTTAACAGAAGAAGAACCAGATGATAAAGGAGACAAAGTAAGTACTGGAAGAACAGTATCACCATGCTTCACTGGCTTTCACACTATTTCCTGTTTTCATGTTATTTCACGTACTGGAAAGAGTTGCATTTCTGTAGTGTCTGAATGATTTTTAAGCAATCTCTGGTGTTGGTAGTTGTGGTTTTTCCCTGCTTAGTGGATTAGCAATGGAGACTAAACTATTCTTACTAATATGTTTTGTGGCTACTAAGAAAGCTTTGCACTGTTGGTGATTTGCATATTAGAAGTGTCACATTTCTTTCCTTTTTTAGGTATACCAACTGCAGCCTTATCAAATATATGGAAAAACATAAAGTTAAACCAGATAGTAAGGCATTCCACTTGGTAAGTTCCTGCATGCATAAAAAAATCAAACCCCTTGTATAAGTTACAGTTGTTCAAAGTGAGAGTTGAGCTGGTGTCAAGTACACTGTGACTAACTTTATTTTATAAATATTATACCTTATTTTATTAAAAAAGTTAGGAATAACTGATACTCTGCAATCTGAGAATTGCAAAACCACTTTATCTTCTCACATTGATAAAATGATTCTGTGAGTCATTCACTGGATTAGTTTCTGTATCAAGTATATCAGAAGTTTTCAGTCTTTAAGTCACGTTTAGTTTGTAATTATATTTGCAGTGTTGCTGCAACTCAGCCATTTTGCTGCTTTGCATACTTTTAATAGCCTATTTTTTATTTTTTAAAAAAATCCTAATTGCCTAATTTTTTACATATTCATTATTAAGCTTACATCTTACCGACTGAAAACCAAAAAAAATTAACTTGAGACTTGAACATGTAGTTTGAAAAATTTTAGTATGTCTTCCTGGTGCACTAATCCTTTGTAGCTTTCTTATGAAAACACCCTAGTACTCTTACAACAATGATTTTCTCTCTAGAACGTATAACTTCTTTTTTTATGAAGACTCCCGTTAAAATGATACACTTGCTCAGCCCTGGAAGTGCCTGCATTATGTTGTTTCAGAAATTACTATATTGGACCTTTTCTTCTGTGTTTTAAAGAACACATTCAAGTCTCTAAAATAAACTTTGTGTGTATATATATATATATGGAGAAGAAAGAAGTTAGGTATATCTTGTCTCTCTGAATGGACATTCTCCTTATCTTGATGTTTCCAGCTCAGATTAAATGTTTTCGGGCTAGAATTATAAGGTAAATATATTATTTGCAGGGCAGGAGTGAGGGAAGAAAACAAGAAGCTTTTTGATCTTGGATATGAGAGGAATAAATTGGAGAAAAGGGAAGATGGTTAAGAGGCCTGGGTGTCTGAGGACATGATGCTTTTGTTGAAGTCGTTGGAAGCTGTGTCTTCTCTGATAATCAGTCCCAAGGGTTTTTAAGCAGCCATCATTTTCTGTTCAGTACTTTTTTCCTCCATATAAATTTTGGAATTTATCCTTCAGTCAGAGCAGCTCTGAGGCAATATTCTTCTTGTGGCATACTGCATGAGCATTTTTGAATGGGGGTTTCCAAGCAGAGGAGTTACACTGCAACTGGTCTAAAATAGAATGTATATTCAAGGTTCAGATCAAACCAAAGTATAATCAGGTGAATCAAGTAATCATTGCAAGAAGTTACCTGGCGGTGGTACCATTATGCATTGTTTACTGTGAAGTGTGTCTGCTCTCTAAAGTTAAAAGTTGGTGAAATACTAGAGAAGTTTACATAAGCAGGGAAACTAGTCCTGTCTGGTAGAGATTTTGGATTTTTAATGGACTTTTATATCAAAGTAGAACTGAAAGCTGCTGATCAGTCAATATATTTGTATGTAATGCATAAATAATTTATTTTAATATGCGAAGAGCTGAAGTGCCTATTATGCACAGGCAAAGCAGTCCGTCCATTTTGCTCATCATTAATCCAGCTACCATATAGCTATTTATAACAGAGCTTCATAAATGCGTTTTTAGTATTTACCAAAATGTTCTGTGTTTTAGGCTAAGAATATACACTTTAAAAAAGATATATTTGATATAGCACGTACATAATATCTAATATTTCTATCAAAGCCTAAATAATATTTGTGAAAATTTTATTATTAAGTAATTCAACAAGCAAAAAACAATGAACACAAGGTGTCTGTTGAATATGTTTTGCATAGGATGGTGTTTGGATATAAAAACTCATCCTTGGACTCTGAGAGAAGCAAATTATTTGAGTGAATTTGCAGATCTTTCTCATCTGCCACTCTAGGCAGGTGTTCCACAAAATTACGCAAATGCACGCATCAGTACTTACCTTCCTAACTCCACCTTCTTTGGGAACAAACATGATGTTTGTCATCTACAAGTTTGACTTTTGACATATTTGGAGTCTAAAGCTCTCAAAATTAGGCTCATGTTGCTGTACCAAAATCTGAAAGTGGCTAACTGTCACTAGTGGTGAATAGCTGAGAAAACTCAGTCAATTCTGCCTGCTAAAATCAGTCACGTTAGATTTTCATATCATACCTAGGCTATCTGAGGTAAAAACCTTCTCCATGCAACAGCCTGTGTAACACGGCCAGTCACTTGATCTTCAAGTAACGCAAGTGCTTTCCTCCTCCCTCAATTCCTCAACTATTTCTTTCTCACTACGCTCCGGTCTGATGGTTTAACGCCAAGCTCAGGTAAAATTGAGTAGTTCAGGCTGTGCTGTACATCTGGCAGTCCATAAAAAAGACTTTCTCTGAATGAACTAGCTTCTATTAAGAGCTGTGAGTGCTCTGGCCAAACTGACCAGAAATTTCTCATCTGCTCTCCCAGTCTTTCAATTTTAGAAATTGTTTTAAATAGAACAACAAAGTTAGACACAGAATTATCACATCAGAATAGCTTAAAACACTTACTATAGTGTTTTCTCTTCTCCCTGTGGTATCACGACAGGGTGATAACTGCTTGAATTCTTCAACATTTTTATTCAGCATGTTTGTATTTATACCAAAAAGCAGTGGTTACATTAAAATGCAAAACCAAGGAATGGTGTCCTTTACCAGGTCACTACCACCCCTCCATCCTTGGTCATACCGGTTAATACCGAACAAGAGGACCAGGAGGTGACTTTGAGCGTGGACCCCTGACTGAGCACGCTGCTCAACTGCTACCTTACCCACTCACTCCGGTTTGGACCTTTACCCACCTTCCCCTCAACAAGACTGGTAGCGAGAGAGAGCCCTTGATGCGATTGGGATGACGTCAGTGTCACGCAAGCTAGAAAGCAGGGTATTTAGTCGTGTAGACATAGCCATCTTCTTTTGTATCTCCCATAGATACAGATTGTGAGCTAAGTACTGTGAAATTTATTGTCAGTTAGCTCTAATAGGATCCTCTCAGTTTTCTGATAACTGCTGTCTGTCAGAACAATTCAATGAAAATCAGATCTGTTCAGGGGCTGTCAAAACCAGAAGGTGTCTTAGGTTTGTGCTCTCACTGTTTGAGGCTAGACTGAACTCCAGATGAATGCCTTAGGCCCCTCCACCAGAGCCTGAACAAGTTCAGCGAATCTCTTGGTACCAGTTCTTCCAGAGATACTCCAAGATCTTACTCTTCCACAGGCTGTCTCACAGCCTTTTACTGTCTGCATCAGAACAGATAAAAAACCTGTTTACATCTACTATTGTAAAAATATGCCAGAACTAATAATTCCAGGACTAGTAAATCCAGAGATTGTTGTCATTGCCAAAAATTAAATGTTTTGATTTCCCAACTTGAATTAACCAGATTTTTTCCCTCTTTACTGACATTCATGCACATGGTCTCTTTTCACATGCGTTACATGAGACAACTTTGGCTCCTTCCTGCTTTTGCAGCTTACATTTTTTTCCACTTTCACTTTCCTGATTTTTTTTCCTACTTATTTGTTTATGCCCTAGAAAATGGGTACGCAGCTGCTGCTCCTGGTTCATTGAGTGATACTCCATCATCCATTTGGTTACTTTGGTCCGTATCAACTGTAGTGATTGTCCCATTCATTGCTGATGTATAACGTTTACTGCATTTTTATTATGTCATTCAGCCAGGTGATCTTTTAATTGAACAGTTTTTGAATAGAAAATATTTGTAATAATAGGTGGAAGATTCACTTGTGCTGGCACCTGAACAAGGGAGCAAAATAGGAGTTTTGATCCCCTGTGTGATAATGGTTGCACAATCATTAAACTTTTGTTGTGGTTTCTGTTTTCTGTTACTGATTATGACCAAGTTTGTTCACATCTTGTCAGCATGTGATGGACAGCTTTATAGCCTAATTGCCAGAAATGGTGCCAGAATTTTGCAAAGTTTTTTGATTGTGATGTTTTTCAGCATGTTGGCAATTCTTTCTCATTTTTTGCCTTCCTCTTTTCTGGCTCCTGGGATTGCTTTTTGAGCTTTTGAGAGAACAAGAATTGTTCTGTTCAAACTGATATTCTACAAAGACTACATGCAGACTCAGAGTCAGAATAACTTACTGTGAGTCTGTGTTGATGATGTGAAAAACAAAACTGGATTTGATAGTGGTAATACGTATTCGTTATGTTCTTAACCATGCCATTAAAACTGAAGGCTGAGGAGAGAAAACGTACTTTCTAACTTTAGCTATCTGCAGCGTGGAGGTTGTGTATGCTCACTTAATAGCTAGTGAAAGGGGATGACCAGTTCAGATGTAGATCATGACGCTAGATCTTTATAAAAAGGTGAATTTAATCCCATGAAAAGTATGAATAACAAATGTGAAATGAATATTATTTGCATATGTAGTTTCTGCGTATCTTGTTAGATCCACGATTTAAAAAAAAAGCTATAGGTTGAAAGTGTAGCATTTCTTTCAAAGATCATTGTCTTTGACAAAAAATCAGGGTGTAGTTTTGCCTTGGATCCTGTATTCCATGGTGAAACATGAATACTCACTATTTTCCTTTTTCTGTGTAGTATCTGAAGCTCCTTCTGCCCGTATGTGTTGCATTGTTAAATGCTGGGTGGATGGGAAGAAATATATGCACATACACCAGACCTTTTGAATAAGAAACACTTACTTTTAGAATGTATCACTGCTATTTCAGTGCTAGAGTTAAATAAAATCACTCTGGTCTGCTGTACCTAAAATGGAGAAAAATCTTCACACACGTGGAGAGAGCATGATGTTTCTAATGTGTTTTTTATTGAAAATCGCTGTTGAGATGCTGCAGAGACAAATGTATAACGTCCAGCCAGCTTCCGAAATGTTCACATAGGTGCCAAATGAGAGTGGAAGAGTAAAAACAGCACAAACAGTAAAAACAGCTTTTAGAGTTACCTTTCAGTCTTTATTGTTGTGCTGAATTTAGACTTCCTGTCTGTTATTGGTATTTGAATTTACTCAAGATGAGTTTCTGGCTGTGTATCCTAAGCATTTCTCATAGCATGTACATCTAAGTACCAATGTTTATAACTATTTTTATACAAATTTTTCACTTCGCTTTGGTTAGGTCAGTTTTATTAAATTTTCATTTGTGTATTACCGTAGGATTTTTGCTCCACTGCCTGTTACTGAAACATCTTGTGTGCTGGTTTTTTTAAAGTTAGGCATTGGGCGAATACCTAGCGTGCTTCTTAGCCCTCTGTTTACCCTTCCCAATGAGAGTAAGATGTACTTTCTCAAAGGGTAAGGTTTTGCTGGATTTTTAGTTGAACTGAGTTCAACTATTTTGTAAAATACTATACTTTGCTTTGTCTTCTGCATATTCATACTTTGTGGTCTTCTTCATTGTCTTTAATCAACACAGGCATTTTGGAAAGAACTTTTTTCATGTAGTTGATACCTGATTCATCAGTTGTTACAAAGATAGAGGCTGAGGTCTTACACTGATAGTGAAAGAGCACTGGAGCTCAGACTTGATGTGCTCATGGAGGATGCAGCTTATCCAACTTCCCTAGAGTATTTTGCATCATGTCATGCAAAACAACTAAAATTCAAGATTTTGCACAACTGCTCTTTTGAGCAGCATGTAGCACACAGATGTGTCTGAGAGTCCATATTTGTCAGGATAAACAAGCACATACTGGAACGGGTGATAAAAAGTTATCTGGCCAGGTGGGTTTTTTGAACGTGTTGATTACCACTTTCTTCTACAGCATAAAGATTTTCTAAGGAGTGACTTAATATAACATCTTTGAAATACTATGGATGACAACGGAGATGTACTAATATGACAATACTAAATAACGAGCAATAACAGACATGGAATCACTTTTGTTTATTAATTGCTAAGAATTATTTGAATTTAGATGGATATGATGTTGCTTCCTGTTAAGTGCAGTGTAGTTGCAGAAACCAGGCTGAATATGTGCATGTTACGTCCTTTTGTGGGAAGCGAACAGACCATTAAAGCTGCTGGTACATCGTGGAAACTCTTTGAATGTTTTGTTAGAACATTTGTGACTGGAACTAACCGCGTGTCCTGGGCTTTGCAAGTAAAAATAGGTGTTCTTTGATGGGGAATGGAGTTATCATTTTAACAAGATAGAAGAATGTGGTTATGCTATTTATGGTTAGGGTTTTGAGTTCAGACACATTTGTATCAGCTTGTCTTTCAGGAACAATACAGTGAAGTTTCTGTAAACAGTTTTGGTAATGCAGAGCTTTTTATCTTTTATTTTGTGTAGCTTCAGAAATTGCTCACTATGGATCCAATAAAGAGAATTACCTCAGAACAGGCTATGCAGGATCCCTATTTCTTAGAAGATCCTCTTCCCACATCCGAGTAAGTGGTCAGTTTATTAACCTATCAGTACATCCAGAGATGCTTTAGAAATGCGTGCTTTCTCTCTGATATAAATATGTTTGTGAATATTGAGCTAAATACTTAGTGTCTAACAACCAAAGAAACTATAACCACTAAAACGCCATTTGTGGTTTTTAAAATTAAGAAGCATTCTTATTGGTCTCTTGCTTTACGGAACTTCGATCCTATTAGTTGCAGCACTAATCTTGTTATTCACTGACATGTTGATTATGCATGCTGCAGATCTTTGTAGACAACTGCTAAGTGCCCACAGGTCCACTTCTCTGCTCCAGAATGCCAGATGACACTCTCTAATTAGTTTACATTTTTCTATCTTAGCCTTTGTTGTAAATTCAGTGGGTGGGGGAAGTCAACTCTGTGTCTCTGTGCTGTCATCCTTAACGACTTAAATCCATTTTCTGTAGACACTCCTCTTTTTTGCTTGCGCAGGGAGATTTACAAAAGGAAGAAAATTTAGGGACAATAATTCATTAAAAATGAACCCACCCCCTGCCCCAAAGACTAGCCAGAGAGCATGATTGCACATCTTTTTAGGAAAACTATTAGCACATCGTGTGTATGATTCTCTACCATTATCTAGAGAAGAATTTATAAAATACGGTATGTATATTTATAAACAATTAATTAAAAATTACATGATTTCACTAAAACCTACTGGGTTATTTATAATGACTCCTGACCTCTCTCTGTGATTTAATGTTGTCATGTGAATGATGTACTTCTGCAGAAACTGCTTTTAGGACAGTGTTTGGGTTTTTTCTCAACTTCAGGTTGGCATTTTAATGTGAATACGCAATGTGTAATGCTAACAGGTGTACAGACTTTATTATAAATACATTCGACTGATTAAGGACAGGTAAATATTAGCTTGTGCTAGCAGTAGCAAAGTCATGTGGGCCATGAGATATGAACTTACAGATGAAATTTCTAGTTATTTTTAAACTTTGTTCCAGGTGGTTTTATTAATAGTGGAGTTTCCAGGGGTATTTTTAGTTAGTCCTGAGATTGTCATTTACGCTATAGCTGGATTAAGATAGCTCTTTGTGCCCTTGCAGATATCTAACAGGTGGTGTACCTTTCCAGCCACCCGGCTGGTCACCAGTTATCAGAAACCGTGAAAACTATGAGGAGTTTAGATGAGTGTATAAGAGGCAACTGAAGATTAAAAATCAATGTGAATAGGTTTACTAAGTTTAGAATATGATGAAAGTAAGACAGGGAAAACTTCTCCATTATTAAGCTGTGGTTCAGGCAACTTGAAACTAGCATGGCTGAAGTATGAATCTTACAGGTCTAACCCTTCTGTTCTAATACAGTGATAAATAGACTTTTTTGGGGGGCAGTGTTTTTGCAGGTTGTCAAATCCCTTACCCAAAACGAGAATTTTTAACAGAAGAAGAACCAGATGATAAAGGAGACAAAGTAAGTACTGGAAGAACAGTATCACCATGCTTCACTGGCTTTCACACTATTTCCTGTTTTCATGTTATTTCACGTACTGCTTTTGAGTTGAAATTTTTCTTTGTGTTTAAACAATTGAGAAGAACCAGCAGCAGCAGCAGGGCAATAACCATACTAATGGAACTGGTCATCCAGGGAACCAAGACAACAGTCACACACAGGGACCCCCACTGAAAAAAGTGAGAGTTGTTCCTCCTACCACTACCTCAGGTGGACTTATTATGACCTCAGACTATCAGGTATTTGTTTTATTCATACGTTGTATATTTGGTTCTCATGTTTGCAACGGTGTTTCTTTAAGCTAAAAAAGTGATTCTGTAAATGTCATTGTATTAACTGTTTGGGGGGGTTTTTTGCATCTTTCAGATGCTTTTTCAGATGCATTAGTTGATGGTTTGCCTGTACATTGATGTGCTGGTGCTTTTTAAGTTAGCAGTTTCAAGGAAATTAGAATCAAAAATTATTACAGTTATTCATTTATTACCTTCATATTAGGGAATGCTGATTGTGAACCAAAAGCCTGTTGTGCTGCACTCTGTATGACCTAAAAATACCATTCCTTATTTGCACAAACCTGCAATGGCAGGAGGCAAAGGATATTTCAATTAACAAGCTGTGATATAAGAATCTGAACAAGAGTTTTAGTTGGGCAGATGGATGGGAAAGCAATATTTTGGATGACAAACAGAAAGACATGATGTTGTCATAATCTGTGTTGGAAGACCAAGGGAAATTCCAGGTTGAGTAAGACCAGTATTACAGATCTGAAGAGACATGTGAGGTGGTGACGACCAATGAGTGAGGAAGAAGAGGAGGCATGTAGGAAAAAAAGCTTGAGGGAATCTTGAAAACTGTGTTCTAGCCTTCCTGCATTTGCACTTGCGGTCAAACATTAGGAAATCAGAAGAGTCTGGAGCAGAAAAATATCTGAGAGTCATCCCAGGGAATGATATCGGAATTTGTGGATTACTCCTGGAGACTGAGGAGAAGAGACTTAAGGACAGAACCTTCAGTTAATGCAAGCTAAGAAATTACAAAAGAGGGAGCAAGGAAGACTTTTCAAATGACACGCGTAGGAGCAGTTAGGTGGCAGATTTTGGAAGCCTAGGGAATAGAAGACTTCGAAAGGAAGCACGCTGGTGGAAATGTTAGTCTGCAGGAACTATTAAATACTGGTTCACACGGAGTGCATAGTGCAGAAGGCCAATTGGAAGAGAGTCTTGGATGGAATTGAAAGATGGGGAATTTAAAGATTAATATCTAAATCTGAAACCCACTTAGCTATGCTTATATTCTGTCGCAAAACTTAGGGAGAGCTAAAGAACGGTGTCAGTAAAACTGCTGCTGTCAACTTGCTTTTCACAGTTTGATGCTGTTTCTCCATAAACACCAATGGGGTTTGAAATCTTGCATTTCAGAGTTTGCTCTTGAGAGTACCAAATGTCCTCAAAGGCTGCCTGGGAGCATTACCCCCATCCTTGTATAAATCTGTGTATTTCCAGCATTGGCCAAAACTTGAAAGTACCGAAAAATGTAAAACGGTCATTTTCAGGAGCTTTACTGTGAGCTCCTTCATATAGTCCCCAAATGCCTTTGCTGAATTTATCCCAGGACATCGATAGCATATCAGTTTTCAAGTTGTTCTCCTTGAACGATAAAGATTTTTAGAGCTGTTTCAAATAGTAGTCAGCCTTAACTACAGTGCCGCAGTGTGGGGTGCCTCTAAGTATAAACATTGTCTTTCCTTTAGCTGGGTTATGCATCACAGAGCACTCCTTTACAGGAGAGTCATCCCATTCAATTTGGCAAGCTGCAAAGTTGATTGCTGTTCGAGCCTTTTAGCTGGCTTTTTCTACTGCTTCCGTGTGCGTATTTTTAAGGCGGCAAATGCAACTCTAACTCTCAATCTTCCCCTCATGTTGAGTCACATATCTAAGGAGACTGATGCAGAGGTTGCATGTACTGTGTCAGGGAGCCCCATTTACATGCCCTATTTACATGCCCTTTGCCTCATTTTGCTGCTGCAGCTTGGCAGTTTGAACAAACTTCGGCTTCCAGTTCTGTGAGCAAGAGCTGAGGTTTGCTAGCTGAGTCAGAAGGCCCAGATTGCTTCAGCAGGCGTTTATGTTCGTTTGTTTTCAGCTCATGCTTATCAAAACTTTTGTAGTCTCAGATACCCATCCCAGGATTGTAGCTGGGGGCAGCCCTTGTCAACAAATGTAATTTCAGAATACTTTTGCGTTGAGATAGTGATAATTGCTGCTTTGCTATCTCAGGAGCTCTTATTGGTAACTTGACTGCTCCTGACTAATCTTTTTGCTGTCTTTCTAGGAGGCAAAACACCTGTTTTTTAAAAAAAAAACATACATCTCCCCCCCAGTCTTGCAAGAAGGCTGTGGGTAGATCTGTTCTGATTAAGGTATTTGGAAAACATGGTAATCAAGGGGAGGAGACCTGAACTTGCTGGCACTGAACAAAAGCAGTTAAAAGTTGCCTATTGGTGGTTTCAGATCTCCCTGAAAAAAATGCCTCACATTTTTTGCTTCTGGTCCTGCAACTTGAGCAGACGGCAAACAAATATTACAATACAGCCCTCTGTTTTAATCAAACACCTGTTCCTTTGTTCTTCATTTAATTTGCTCAAATTCCCCATATAAAGCTTGTGAAGAAGGATTGCCATCTCCTGGGCAAGACACACTAAGGCAGTTTCTTCATCCACTCAGAAGTCAAATTATTCTCTACAGAACAAGTTGACCTTGTATCCTTTTCTGCCATGCATAAAAATAGTAGACACATGGCACACAGACTTCCTTGCCTTCTCATTTAAATCTGCAATGTGACACTTCCAAAGGCAATGTGACTAAACAGGCTGGAACAATTCCACTACTCTGAGCTTTTGCTTGTGATAACCCTCTGGGTGCTTAATGGTATTTAGAAAGGATAGGATGTTTACATTTGTTCTTAAACAAAAGCCATTTGTTGCACTGGGTGTCATGAAAGAATCTGATGATTTTTAATTGCCTCCATCTTAAAATAAGATCTGTTTTAGAAGTCAGGATGCAGAAAGTGTTTACAACTGATATGAATGGTCAGGTTTCAAATGGTTAAATTTGTGAGAGTTTCCTACATACAGGGGCCACGGTTGAGCAAAAAGAATATTCAGGGATTTTTGCTCCGTGAAGTACATCCTATATTTGTTACATGGAGAAGGGTGACCCAGAGCTGTGGCACTTCTGGTGGCGAGTGACTTAGTCCATCTCTCAAGAGTGAAGGCAAAAGTCACAAAAGTGCAGTCACTGTGCTAACGGTGCAGTTCAGCAGTGCTGGTTTGTTCCTGCTGGCATGAAGTGCTGGTCCAGCCATTTCTTCCCCTTTACACTACACATCCCTAGAGAATTAGCTCAGTCCTGCGAGCATATTTTGAGAAGTAGAGCTTGCCTTTTGATTTCAGCCATCATCTCAGCATCCTGATTATAGCTTCTGTTCTAAATGTCGAATGGCAGGCAAAAATTAATGGAGTTGTTATTTATTATTTTATAATTTCTTTTATAAAATCTGTAAAGCTGTTTTAATATTTTACTTTTTCAGGATGTTGGTTCACCGTAGTTTTGCGTATTCAGGTCTCAGTAGCAATATCCTAGTCCTGGAATATTCACCTTAAGGAAGTTTCCAGATCTTTACTAGAAGCAGCTTTTGCTAACAATCCTACTACATCTTGCGATATCAAGAGTTAGAAGTTAAACAGCAGTTTCTAAACACTACAACATTTGTGTGTGTGTGTAAACCTTAACATAAGGTGTGTAAACCTTAACATACAGGCTTGGGGAAGAGTGGCTGGAAAGCTGCCTGGCGGAAAAGGACCTGGGGGTGTTGGTCGACAGCCGGCTGAACATGAGCCGGCAGTGTGCCCAGGCGGCTAAGAAGGCCAACGGCATCCTGGCCTGTATCAGAAATAGTGTGGCCAGCAGGAGCAGGGAAGTGATAGTGCCCCTGTACTCGGCACTGGTGCGGCCGCACCTCGAATACTGTGTTCAGTTTTGGGCCCCTCACTACAAGAAGGATGTTGAGATGTTGGAACGTGTCCAGAGAAGGGCAACGAGGCTGGTGAGGGGTCTGGAGAACAAGCCTTATGAGGAGCGGCTGAGGGAGCTGGGGTTGTTTAGCCTGGAGAAAAGGAGGCTGAGGGGAGACCTCATTGCTCTCTACAACTACCTAAAAGGAGGTTGTAGCAAGGTGGGTGTCGGTCTCTTCTCCCAAGTAACTGGCGAAAGGACGAGAGGAAATGGCCTCAAGTTGCGCCAGGGGAGGTTTAGATTGGATGTAAGGAAAAATTTCTTTACTGAAAGAGTAGTTAAACATTGGAACAGGCTGCCCAGGGAAGTGGTTGAGTCACCATCCCTGGAAGTATTTAAAAGGCGGGTAGATGAGGCGCTTAGGGACATGGTTTAGTGGGCATGGTGTTGTTGGGTTGATGGTTGGACTCGATGATCTTGGAGGTCTCTTCCAACCTTTAATGATTCTATGATTCTATGATTCTATGATTCTATAAATGTAACACAATTTCATTACATTACGATACTGTTTTAATATAAATGTTAAATGCTACTAAGTGGTCATATGCTTAGATTGAAAATCCCACACGCAGTCCATTTTTTCCTTTATAACACATGATGTGTAAATAACTAACTTTTAGGCTAAAATCAAAGTAGGCAGTTGTTGGTTTGCTCAGAGCTTCGTGCAATGAATAATGAATGCTCCATCTAATAAGTAACTGTAGAAATGCTGGTTGAAAGGGGCCTCCGGAGACCATCTAGCCCAATCTCCCCCTTGAAGCAGGACTGTTGCTAGTGCTAAATCAGGTCAGCCATGCCTTTGTTTAGCACAGTCTTAAAAACCTCCATAGATAGAGACTTCACAGCCTCTCTGGGCAAGTTCTTCTAGTGCTGTACTAGCCTCTTAGGGAATTTTTTTCCCTAATGTCTGACCTGAACCTCCCAAGCCACAACCTGTGGCCATTTCCCCTCGAAATACCTGGTTCCACTGAGAAGACTGTGGCTGTTGTCTTTTAGAAATACTTGAAGGAGAGTTAGGCTGCTGCTAGATGATGCCTTAGCCTAAACGATCACAGCTCTCTCAGCCTTTACTCCTAGGTCACATAAAAGGGTGCCAAGCATATCCTTTGTACAGGAAAATCTCCGGAATAATGCAGAGTGGCTCATCAGCAGTAAGATGCACCGTTCAGACCTCCACCCCAACATACCTTCCTGGTAAAGGGAAGGGAGCAAGTGGAGAAGACCACTGCCGTGCGCGGTGGTAGCCTTGTGTAACATGCAGGTGTACCGTAGCCATCTGGAGGGTTGACTGGAGGTTTGACTATGATGGGTGTGTAGATTCACAGGAGGTAATTAGGGTGGATACTGGAGGGTGGTAACTGTCACTTTCTAATCTGATATTCCTGATGTTCATACCTGCACCTGCTGTAATCAGAGTAAGTGAAGAGAAGCCTGACAGTGCAGCTGCGTCGGGACTGTGTGTTCAGTACCTCTTGAAGAAATAAATCGGTAGGTGAAACTGTCTTGCAATGTACCTGTTACGACGGATTGCATTTCCTCTGCTTCTACCCCTCTGCAGCGTTCCAACCCCCATGCTGCCTACCCCAACCCCGGACCAAGCACATCACAGCCACAGAGCAGCATGGGATATTCAACTACCTCCCAGCAGCCGCCACAGTACTCGCATCAGACACATCGGTACTGAGCTGCATCCCAATAATAACGTCAATGCACTGTTGCTAATGCTGCAGGACCGGCCGCACAGCTGCCTGCCTGGAACCCGGCTTGGGCCACGAGAATGTACTGTACAACCACACCTCCAACCTGTCCGACCGCCACGATCCACCCCCTTCCACAGAGCGGAGTAGTGGCTCCCAAATTGTACCTGTTTTTGGGGTTAGACTTGAAAAGAAAGTGCTAGCACAGTTTGTGTTGTGGATATGCTACTTCCATAGTTTACTTGACATGGTTCAGACTGACCGATGCATTTTTTTCAGTGACAGTCTGTAGCAGTTGAAGCTGTGAAATGTGCTAGGGGCAAGCATTTTTGTTGTCGTATGTGGTGAATTCTCTTGATGTAACAACTTTATCTGACCAATAGTACACAACATCTTTGAACTGGTACTTGAAGCATACAGTATATGTTACCATGGCAAAAAAGCAAACTAACCGTGACTCTGACACAATTTTGATAGACGTTTATTTTTAGTGACTTTTGTGGGTTGGTTCATTTTCCACCTAGATCAATGTTTTATGACCGACACAATTGCTACGATGAGGTTTTTTTAAGAACATGAAAACGTTTGCATTTTTTTCCAGCAATTACAAACGTCCCAAAGATTAATTTCCAACATAAGTTTTTGTTTTTGTTTTTAAATCTATGACTTGACTGGTATTAAAGCTGCTATTTGATAGTAAAATAAGTATGTTGTCATTGATATAAACATGTTTGGTTCAGCAAACAAACTGAAATGATTGTCATAGACAGTGTTTTATTTTTTTCCTGTTCGTGTTAATGATTTGTGAGCATGCTTTGGGATTAAAAAAGCATGAATGATATTTCCTAAAAAGGTGCGGCATCCATTCAGATATTTCGTCATGATTTTTGAGAACCAGCTTGGTGTAGTGGATTTTAAGTTTTGTTCAGTTAATTATTTTTTTTAAATGTTCGCACGTTGTTTAGGGGTGCCATTCCTACAACAGAGGATCAAGGTGTTAGGAGAGCCTTAGAATTTATGAGGAAAACCAATGTACTGTATCAAACTATTTTACATGAATGACGCAAGTATTCTGAATTAAAAAAAAAAATCAAACATTGTTAAAACAAGGTGTTATGTAATAAATTTATTTTTCATAAATCTACATATGACCTTTGCCTGTGTTCCTTTTTATCAGCGACAACACCCCGCTCCCCCATTGTGCATCTGTATCGGGTTGTGTCCTGAGAAACAGTATCTGACAGGAATTTTTCTTGCAAGTGGGCAGCCTTCCATTAACTGCTGAGAAGGATTTTTTTTTTTTAAATAGCAGAAAAAAATACAATGCCTCCGTAAAACGTCATTACCCCTGTTGTGTGCATGTAGCTGATCAGCTGGAGATGGGCTGAACGTGGGTTCATTACTAGCTACGTTTCACAGATCAGACAGCTCTTTTTCATCTACACAATCTAGAGACATTCCTGTCTGAATAGTTCTTCTAAGGTTTCTGTCACTCATTCTTATCTTGGTATCTAATACCGCACCATGATTTTATGACATAAAGATATGTAATATATGCAGGATTTTTTTCTGCGAGTGCTTCATATAGTGTGAGTATCAACTAATGTGATCCGTTCAAATGCACTGAGCTGCTGACGGGAGGCAAAAGAAAAACCAAATCAGTAGCCAGCCCAAAATGCAAACCGTGTTTGAGGTGAAGATAAAATCATCTGAGTGGAGTAGAGGTTTAAGTATTCAGGAGACTTAAACCTAAAGACAAAATCTGAGTGCAAGGTTCATGCTGCTTTAGTAACACTGTGCGATACCCTCTTCATTTTGACATAAGTGTTGTCAAAACCTGGCTTTCCTCAGTTTCCGGAACACAGATAAAAATATAGGTGGGAACACAGGTAAATATATAGGTGGGAGTGCCTTAAACTTCTTTTTGGTTTGTTTTTCGTCCTTTCCTTAATTCATATCTAGGCTTTGACCTTGCCTGTTTAGTATCTCCAGACTCTTTCCAGGCACTGAAATGGCGACAAGAGTAACTTTTCTTTGGCTAAAGTACTTCTGGCCTAGATTTTTTGCTCTCTTATTGATGCATATTCATATTAGTGCATAATAGTTAATATTATTCATATTAATGCAAACCTTATTTGTTACCAGTGTATTGTGATGTCTCCAATGCTTTGTTTAAAAGCAGCAGGCTGGCTTTAATTTCATTTTTGCAAAGGGAAATGCATCCAACTGACAAAAAGGACTCTTGCCATTAGTTTGCACTTGAATTTAATTTTCCTATTGAGAAGGTATTTGAGATGAAGATGCAGCTTATCAACTAATTGTAATAGAAGTAAATTATACTCTACATTTAGTTAAGTAGTCTGCTACTCCATTTGCGGTAATTTCATTCATTCTACTCCATTTTTAGTAGACGTATTGCAGATTACCTCAACAAACTGAGATCCTACAAGGGAAGTCAAATCTTAATATTTGACTTGTTCTGATGTCTGAGTCAGCTGGTCGTTTGGGAGGAGGAATTTGAGGTTTGTTTCTCTAGAACTGCAGAAAAGGTTTTTCAATGCTTGGTATAACCTCTGATACCTTCAAGACGGGGTATATTTTTGTTGCAGATAAGATTAATCTTGTCGTATTCATGACAATTATAAATCATCTTCTGCATCAAATAAGCTTTTTAATACTGGTTTTAGGAATACCGAGAGCAAGGCTCTAAATTACTTTCCTGAACTGTTTAAAAAAAAAAAAAAAAAGGAAATTAATCCTGTCCCTGTTTTGCTCTGGGGGGCTTTTTACGTGAGGGTTACAGAAAGGGGAGGAAGAAGAAAAGTACCTTTGAGAACATTTAATGGAAGAGTTGCAAATTCCTGTGAGGGAGGTGGCAGCTCGGCATGCAGCAGCCGGCGTGTGAGCTGTGCCTCTTTCCTCGCCTCTCTCAGCTTTTGTTACTAGATTCAAGAACTTCAAAGCTTTTCATTTTTCACCAACAATTATCTGGACCAATCTGAGTATATTTCAAATAGCTGAAGCCTAGGAGCCTGACTTTGTTGCTCTGATTAAGGAACGAATTGTTTTTCTAGAGTAGGCTTATGTTGAAAATGGGCTACAAGCTTAACTTGATTGTGAGGATAAATATACGCTATTGCACTTTCACCTTGGCACTCTCAGCAAGCCTAGCTTGTGGCAGCTCTGAATTTATCATACCTGGTAAGAACGCAGCTCCTTTAAGAAGAAATAAATAACTTTTGCAATGAGCCCTTTTAAAGATGGTTTCAGCATTAGTTGTGGGGAGTCTGAGGAAGGAAATGAGACTGGTTCTGTCCTGTCCTTTCCTGTGTGTATATATAAATTGGAAAATACTCACTGAATTGCCCATGGCAGTGCCCAGGCAATGCCCAGCTGAGGGGTAGGCCAACGTTAGTTCAGGTTTTCTTTCAGCTTCCTTTTTCCTTCATTCTGAAGCTACTGCTGGGCAGAGTCTCTTCTGGGTCTGGGGTGATTCATCTGTAGGTGGCAAACTGCTCAAGCAGCTAGGGTGGTAGGCCTGAGCGGGAGAGGAGTGAGCAAACACATCTCTCCAAATCCCTTTTTGCTTTCTGTGTGCAATGCTTAATTTTTATGGGGTTTGTGTTTCCATGCCTTGCTTTCTCAGGGGAGATACTTAATGCAGGTTGCAGGTATGTGCCATTGCCTGTTCAAACAGTATTGCAGTCCTTGGCGTCTCATTTGCACTACATGGGCTCCTCCAAAAGAAAAGAGCAAGTTCCTCCGTATTTCTTCGCTAAGGGCCATCAGCAGCCCAAGTCCCAAGTGTCTCGTCGGCTACCGTGTCCATGGTAGCTTTGCACAAAGCCTGCTCCACAACATGGAGCAGCACATTTCTGCGAGACTGATCATTAGGATGTTATTTTATAGGAAGTGGTGTCAACTCAACTCTCCTTTGCCAACTCAAACAAGAAGACAGCAAAGCATTGAGTGGGGTATGGGTGAAGCATGCAGGAGTTAGCCATGTCATGTGAAATGGCCTTAAGCTCTGTCAAAAAGGATCTTGGAAGCTGTTCCTATCATTTTCACCTTGTTGTATGTCTCTTGCCCGTTCAGACCCCAGCAGAGGTGGCAGTTAGTGAGAACGAGGGTTAGAGTCAGTGGCAAGTGAAGGCTTTATGTGAAGAGATGACTTGTGCTGTTCCTCGGTGTCCATCGATTTCTTTCTAAAATTCCTCTTTGAGCAATAAGCAGCTCCTGTTGTATCTCCCCCAAGCCCATCCTGGCTTCGCTAAAAGGTAAGCTGTGATCTCTGCCTTTCATGTATTGTGGCTGTCGGTGATTTTATGGGCACGGTTAGGCAGTTTGACTGCCACCGAGTGGGGTAATGGAGGTGGGATGGAGCCTACAGGATCTCATATTGGTTATTGTGTATCAGAAAGGAAATGCATAGATTATTTCTTGGAGCCAGTGGTGAAGTTGCAGACCTGCCATTTGGACTAAACGTTGCCATTCTAAGTTGAGCCTATTTTCTGCAGAAGGACTGAGTAATGTGGTGCTCCTTACACGCTATTTTACTTACACCCCTGAATAGAGCAGCCCTTCTTAGTTGGGTGGCGCAGCTGTCTCAGCATCTTCCTCTAGGCTGAGTGGTGACAGTGCTTCAGGATGCCAGTTCTGAGACAGTTTAATAGCCAGCGTCCCTTGAGACCAAGATAGATGAGCTTAATTCAGTGTAATTTGCCTGTCACAGCTATGGATAAAGAACACTTTGTGAAATAATATGTCAGACATCTGAATGATGGGATGTACAAACTGTGCTCTAGCAGTAAGAGAGGTAGAGAAAGAGGTGCTTACCCTCTGAAAGCAAAACAGAAACAAAGCTGCTTCTTCCACCAGGACTCTTGCGGTAAGTTCCTCTCAAGGATTTTAAGCAGCTTTTATCATGGCAGTTGGCTTCAGTGATGGCAGAAGGGAGCTATCTCCAGAGGACTGTCTTTGGTTAAAGGGATCCTGTGCTGTAGAGCTTGGCGTTAGCACTGATGTTAATGAAGCCATTGCCCTGGGGTGATGCACACCAGCTCCAACCCGGGATGGGAATCTGGACAAGCTCCATCACTGCTCTGAAAGCTCCCATGTCACAAGATACTGAAAAACACTTTTCAGCCTGCGAGGATTAGGGTGTCTTTCCTTGGCCCTCACACTGACTTTAACTATCCCTTTGCATTTCTGGTCCTACTTAGGTGGGCTGGGTACTTCACCTGAGCCAGGGGAGATGGAGAAAGGGCTAGTGCAGGAGTGCTTGTTATTTAGGCAGTGCAGCACATTTTGGCACATAACCCCATGCCCACAGAAACACCAAGGATAGCCTTTACAGCATACGCTTTCGGGAAAAGTTTCCGTTTCCTCAGCCTGGAATGTGGGAAAGCTGCCGTGTGCTCGGAGCAAGCCTTTGTTTAATATTTGTGGGAGCTTTGGATTTGTACAATGGTTCACCCACAGTGTTTGAAGAGCAGCAGCCTCTCTGCCACCCCACCAGCTACATAAGAAATGCAACCAGCTGACTGAGGAAGGGAGGGAGATGAAGTAGGGATTTGTCTCAGAAGAGCACCTACAGGAATGCTGAGATTAGTTGAAAAGCCCTGAGCAGATGCTTACAGAAGGCCCCGTTACGCCTTTCCCAAAGGCACTCTATGAGAAGGCAAAGAGGTATTGTCTTACCCTGTGAGGTGTAAATAGCACTCCCGCCTTTAAGGGGAGCTCATTCCTTCTCTGAGTCACTGTGCCAAAACCTGATCATGTCCTACATTTGTGTTTCCAGTTTATGCAGGGTCATCTTTAGTACCCACTGGCTGGTCTTCCCACAAGATGCTGGCAGGGTGTGCATCGAGCTATTCTTATCAATCAACTTTTAAAATTAAAATTCTTTTGCTGTTTGTAGTGTTTCTCAAATATACGTAGGGACCTGTAAGGCTTCCTACACCAGCCAAGCTCTACCTTAGTGAGTTCTTCCTGTTAACTGGGTAGGGAAGACAATAGAATAAATTGTTTGGCATGCTTCACATACGCTTCAGCCATGTGCTGATACCATGGAGATACCCAGCAAGCTATGGAGAAGGATTCTGTGGGGATAAATTCTGCGGCTGTGTGCCAGGAATGACCATCGT